CACCTCCAGGTTCTTGCGGCTTATTTCGTCGTCCTTGGCCCAAAGACGGCTCTTAAAACCGTCAAAACGGGCCCGTACGGTTCGCTCCGTCAAACAGTGAGCCGCAAGAATCTAGATGAAAGATAGGAGCGGGCCAAAAGAACAAAAGGTTAATTGTCAGACGTAAAAAAAAGGGGGGACGAAGAGGAAAACGAAGAAGGAAGAAAAGGCGTACCCGAACCGCTAGGCTTTTAATGGCGGAACACCCCTCGTCGAACTCATTAAGTTCGGTGAACAAGCTCGGGGTGCCGACGGGCAAGACAAGGTTGCTCACTCCCTCCACAAAGGGAACAAGGTTCGCCCGAGTCTCGAAATCACCAGGGGCGAAGTGGGGCGCCGCAAGGGAATACTCAGAGACAGATGCTTCGGCGGCCGCACACTTCCCCTTCGCCTTGACTAGCGGCGAAATAGCTGGCTCACGCAGAGGGCTCCCGAAGACCCTCGCCGCAGCCGACACGATCCGTTCGGCGGAGGCTGAAGCCCCGGCGGCGGCATTACCGCCTGCCCCAGCAACGCTGAGCGGAGCGAGGGGAGCAGTCGAAAGGTCTAAACTGCGGCCAGCGGGCGAAGTTGGAGTCCCGTCAGAAGATTCGTCGTCGCTGAAAACGCGGGCGATGTCGACGAGTCTTTCCTTTTTAGAGATCTTCTGCACCGGACCTCCCTTCGCTGCCTTGCCTGAGGAGAACGCAACTAGGGCCTTCGCCCCTTCCAAATCCTTCCGTCGAAGGGGGGAGCTGTTCGACTCCACCCCGGTCTCGTTGGGACCTGGACTTGGGGTAGGAGTGTAGCCGAGGGTGTCGACGCGGTCTCCGACCGCCTCGTTCGCGGCCTTATCGGCCACGGCCTCCTCCTCCTCCTCTGCTTCCCCCTCGCCGTCGCGTTCTTCGGCATCGTCCTCGTCGTCGGCATCGGAGTCCGACGAAGCAGGAGCCCTTCGTTTCCTGGGGGCAAGCTTCACTTGTCCGCGCATTCGCTTCCGTGAAGGCCCTGCATCATCGTCGGCTTTGTGGGGGTTTGCTCGAGGAGGCAATTCGCCGTTGTAAACCCGGTTCGCCCGCCCAGCCGCTTGTCGTGTTAGCAGCTGGCTATACTCAACGATTGACACATCGCCGATCATCCTGCGGGCTTCGGTTTCAACCTGGTCAAGGATCAACACTGCAAAATTAGAGTGTGAGGCTATGTCAAAAGTCAGATAAGGCGAAATAACAAAGCACAGTAGTATATAGCAAAAGAACAGTCTTACTGTTCGCCCCCTCAGGAAGTATCAGGTTCGGCAAACCGTCGACCTCTTCGCCTTGATCAACCGTGACTTGCCATGACTGGGAGAGGGGAAAGATGCGAAGCATACAGAATTCCTCCACCAAGTCACGGCAGCTAAGGCGGGAGCAAACCTTGCGCAGCAGAACGAACCGAGCCTCCATAGTGCCGTCCACGGCGATCTTGGGTTTCCAGTTCGGTGCGATCGCCCTACGCCGGCACCGGAGGGCTTTCGCCGCGTCAGAACTAGCCTCGAAGGGGATGGAATGATAGAAGCACCTGGCTATCCAATGGCGGTCCCACTTCGACATGACAGCGTTCACTGGCCAAAGATCGAACCGCTCGGGACGAACGTTGAATTCACACTCCCGAACACTGTCTTCTTCGTTCGAGCCGGGGTAATCACCGTTTTCGAGTTCACGGTGGCGAAAAATATGGCGCCGAAGAGCTCGGCGTTAGGCTCAAACCCGGAAGTCCGGCGCGCCCAGTCGAAGATAGCGACCCAAACAAGCGCCGATGGGCTCAGCTGTGGAAGTTCCACCTGGAAGAGGCGAAGGATCTCCGGCAACAACACGTTGCAGGGGAACCGTAGCCCAGCCTCAAAAAAGACGGCGAATACCACCGTCCGATTGTCGATAGGTTTCGGCACCACGGCTTTCCCTGGGGCGAAAGCCTGCCCCTCAACCAACGCCCCAGAGCGGACCAGCTTCGCCAGCTCGACGTCGTCCACAAGAGAGACCCCCAGAAAGGCGGTGCTGTCGTCATCGACTCGGCCGGGATCCGGCCCTTTAGCCGAAGCACGGTTTGGCTTGCGAGGGGCCATGGTGAACGGTGCGTTTGCGGTGGCGAAGAAAGAGAATGGGCGAAACACTTGAGGGGTCGAGAGATGCTGTGGAAGAAAGAAACGGAGGAAGAGAGCGCACGCGGTAAAATGGCAAGTGTGGCGGTGAAAAGGAAAGGTCGGTGGGAATATATAGCTCACTCGGGCGACCGTTCGCCTACCCACCAGTAATAAAGCGCCACGTGTCGCAAGGGTAGGCGAAACGGTAACTTCCCACCGTCCAAGCGGCGCAGTAAAAGCCCACGAAGGGAAAGCCCAATACTGTTCCTTTCGGCCCAGGAAAAGAAAATATATATATAAAAAAATATATATAATATATATATATATATATATATACATATATATATATAGTAAATTTGTTTGGTGCTCCATGGTGCCCGGGCACCATTGTTGAAATTGAGTATATACCCAATTCAAATGAGCATGAAACTTTTTCAATTATTTAGGTATTAATATTAACTACATTACTAACTAGTTGAAAGCAAGTTTGAACTGAATTTGAACTTGTTTTTGTTAGATTTTGATTCTAGGTATATAGCATCCATACATATAATTAGTTAGGTATGTAATCATGGATTGTGAAATAAAGTTAAATTTGAGTTGTTTTGTTGATAGGTATAGGTATGAATCGAATTCTTATAACTAGGTATATACTCACAATTTGAAAATTTTGAAAAATTTGAGTGATTTTGTGCATTTGAAACCATGGTGCCCGGGCACCATGGTGCCCGGGCACCATGGTGCCCCATATGAGTGTCCTATATATATATATATATATATATATATGAATATGCAACCAAACGCAGGAGGCGAAGAGCGGCAAAATAATACCAGCCGCACAAATAACAAACTTCATTCGCAGGAATAGTGTAGGTTTCGGCAGGAGAATCGGTCGAAAGGGGGCGCCGCATACCATACCACATGGTTTGCACGGTCTCGGCCGAAGCTCCAATCTCACCCTTGCCCGTGAGGGGCTTGTTGGCGGATGGCATGAGGCCCTTCGACCAAATCTGCCGAAACCCATGGCGAAGGCTATGGAGCAAGAACGGCGTGAGGCGAAGAGTCGTGCGAAGTGCCTTGCCAGGCCAGAGGTGTCTCAGGCCAAGGGTGCAAGGCGAAGACTATCTGCCGAAGGAAGATGACTTCGCCTTGGCAAGTTTGCCCCCGCGAGGGCCAAAGAAGCCTTTCCGGCCCATCAAGCCTAGGGGCAATAGGGCCGGCGATCGCCAGACGGCCCATCAAGGGCCCATGAGCCCCTATATCATCATGTACCCCTGTAAATGTCCCTTTCATAAGGGTAATCATGTAAATTCCCCTGTATAACCTAAACCCTAGTAGTAAGAACCTGTAATGGGGATATAAATAGCCCCCTAGGGCCATGTAACGGGGGAAGATCCCAAGGGAAATTCAAAATTTAATACACTTCGTTTTTCCAACCACTGTTGAGTAACCACGTCTTTCGACGTATGCGGTCGTCGTTTCGACAACAAACATGTTTTGGATTTGGAATAATTTCTTGCATGGATCCATTATGTCCTTTGTATATATCTCCAAATTCATATAGATGCTAATGAATCTATATGAGTGATGGAGAGGCCAATATAAAATCATGTGATGATTAATCCTGGTGATGAACAATTGTTTGGTGAAAATGCAGTGTGATGTGTTTTCGGTTGTCGGCTCTAGTGGCCAGTCAAACCGGTGGTGTTAGTGCTTGACCGGGTAGCCCAATGGTCAGACCGGCAAACTCCTGATGTGAGTCAGTTTCGTGTTGTTTTCGTAGAATTTCTCACATCAGTTTCGCGTTGTTTTCGTAGAATGTCTCCCAGGCCGGGCCCACTTACATCTGATAGCTTTTCCAGGATATAGACTGCCCTCACACACTTTGTCCTCACTCGTGCGCACCAGGGAAAAAGTTTCGCGTTGTTTTCGTAGAACCTCTCCCAGGCCAGGCCCACTTACATCTGATAGTTTTTCTAGGATATAGACTGCCCTCACATACTTTGTCCTCACTCATGCGCACCCGGGAAGAATTTTCAGCCTGTTGGTATGAGTGTTCTATTAATCCTATTAAGCGGTCACCCACTTTGTCTTTACTCGTGCGCACCCGGGAAAAATTTTCAACTTGTTAGTATGGGTATTCTATTAATCCTATTAAGCGGTCACACATCCCAAAATTGCGCCAAGCACGCTTAACCTCAAAGTTCTTTGGTGATTGGCTTCTGAAAAAGAAGTCGTAACTTATTGTTATGGGTATTCTATTAATCATATTAAACCCTAGGCTAGGATGTCACACATGATGCTCGGATTAGAGAACAATGCACGTGGAGGTGAAGGTTTCCATATGACATACATGTTGTGTTGTGTGCGTATGGAAAGAGTAGTCAAATTTGGATTGGAGTCCAAGTTTGAAAAGATTGGAACGTGGAATTGTATGGGGATGTTGTTTCCCTGGTTTGGTAGGTTTCCTATGTGATTAGGAGTCCTAGTTCTAGTTGGATTCGTGGCTAGGGGCAGCCACGTTGTGGGTATAAATAGTAGAGGGATTGAAGCTCGAAGCTATCGACTTTTTGGGAGAAAAAAATTAGTATTTTATTGGAGGTTTCAATTCTAGTCCATTATTAAAGATTGTAAATTTTGGATGTACCATAACAATTTTTTTTCTCTATTTTGAGGTACTACTAAATCTCTAGTATACCGATATGTTTGACAAGTTTGACATTGGCAACAGCCCAAACAAAAACATAGCCACATAATTTATCCATCTCGTCTCCCCATAAGTCTTGAACTATCATAAGAATATTAAGTAGTGAATGAATTAATTAGTAGATTAGAATTAGTTTATTCACGGAGAAAAACAGGCTTTATACACACAAAGTAGCTGTCTTCTTATTATTCACCACACAAAATTAACAACAGAGCTGAGAGACATTTACAAAACATCATACAGATCATCAGTTAATTAACAAGCAAATTAAAGCAGAGCCACAATCCAGAGACAAGCATGCATGCAGCTATATATCCAGCCAAAGAGCTCTCCTACTTCATGAAACCCTGCGCCATCTTGAACAGCCCACCGGCGGCGCCGCCGCTGCCGGCGCTCTCCTCCCCGCCGCCCTTCTTCTCCATCAGCGACTCGGCCCCCTTCATGACGTCGTCGAGACCGAACCCTTCCGACGACGACGGTGGCTTGCCTTCCTCCTTCTCAGCCGGCGCAGGCTCCTTGGGCGGCTCCTCCGCCGCTGGCTTCGGCGCTGCGGCGTCTCCGGCTGCCGGCGGTGGCGGTGCGGCGCCGCCACTGCCGGAGCTGAAGTCCTTGAGGTACCCCTCCGCCTTGTCGATGTACTGCCCGACCGGCTTGTCGTCGAGCTTGCCGTAGGTGGACGCCGAGTGCAGCAGGTCCGCGGCGGCGCCGGCGACCTCCTTCTTGTCGACGCCCTCCACGCTCTTCTGCTGGAACACCGACATGGTCGCCTCCGCGACCACCTTGCCGCTCGCCATCAGGTCGCCGGAGCCGGACTTGTTCTCCTCCGCCATTGAGCAAAGCTTACACAGTTATACACTCCAAGATTTTTTTTGCAGCGTTAAGTTCAGAGCGGGAGCGAGAAGCAGTGTGCAGAGAGAGTGAGGATGATACGAGCCATCCTTATAGATGGATGAGATAGAAGAAGATGGAGACGTGATTTGGACATGAGGCAAAGCTGCCCCTTGTGTGGATGGATTTGGATATGAAGGAACAAAATATCTAAGATTAAACTAGTATCTTATGTTAGCACTAATGAGATGAGGGAAATTTATGTGGTTCTTGTTTAATTCAGTGGTGCAATTTGGGTTGTACAAAAAGAAATAATGGTGCATAAATTAAATCTCATTGATTGATTGATGGAAACTTGGGTGGAGTTTACTTTGGAGATTTTTTTTTTCAAGCTAGCTAGGTCATAAAGGAGAAGATATGGGAATCAGTTGATGATTTCTGGGCCATAATTGCAAGTGAATTTAAACAAGAAGCATGTTGGCAGCAGGGTGGGCACACATTTGTCCAACTTTCCTGTGACCTGTGGGTACCAAGTGATGGTTACCTGGTGACCCCTTCATGGACTGTCGGCAGAGTCTAATACTCTAATGGCACGGGTAACTCTCTTCTTTAATTAATTTATGATAGCTATCTGTGTCAAACCTTTTTCATTTGTAAACAAGATAATCTCACAATACATATATATATATATATATATATATATATATATATATATATATATATATATATCAATGTTATAGAATACATGTATATATACTCCCTCCGGGTTAATAATACTTGTCGTTTTGGAAAAGTACACGGTCTTTTAAAAACAACTTTGACCATTATTTTATATTATAATATGTATAAAAGTGTTAACAAATATATGATTTTATTAAAGTATTTTTTAAGAGTAATCTATACATGTAGTCACCATATTTGAAAGACAAATATTTAAAAAATGATTCATAATCAAAGATTCTAAAGTTTGACCTCACCCTTGTCTAAAACGACAAGTATTATCAGCCCGGAGGGAGTATCTGTTAACGGTGTAATCTGGCAGCAGAACTCAGGAAGAAAGAAGGAAATCAGGATAGATTTGATGTCGAAGTATGCTGGGATCCGAATTGAACTATGCATTGGCCAGGAACCATATCGGCTGAGAACAAAGGCCAACGACCAGGACTGACTGAGTCGGCCGATGATTGGGCCAGCCAGCACAGTGCGACTCGGGCTCGGGTAGGCCCAATTTGGAATAACCGTCATTACCAAATAGAGATAGAGCTCATTTGAAGGCAATTGTATCTATTAAATAGGTTAAATAGGTTAGTTACGTCGGTTTGATTAGTTTTGGTAAGAAACCGTCGTAAATGGCCGGTCTTGTTTGTATCTAGAATTTGGAAGGTTTTGGGTCGTGTCCATAATGGACTTTTCTTGTACCCAGGGTATAAATGTTAACCCCCTAGCACTGTAATAGGGGAGACAGTCCAATACAACTTCGGTGCATCGTCACCCTTTTACTTTTACTTTCGTTTTACGTTCCGGCAGAACTTGGCACCTGACGCGGGGCTGCATTGGCTTCGATCTCCGGCGAAGAGGTAAGTCCTACGTTCCGCCGGCCCAAGCAATCATGTCGACTACATCGGCGTTGTTCAAGGCTGCATCATTACACTAGATCTCTTGGATCACACTGGTTTGGTTTACATGCTTGCTTGGTTTTATCTTATATCCTGTCTAATCTAGCTTGGTAGCCCAATTTACCCGTATCGGCTGATATTCGCTTTAGGGTTGATGCTGGTATCGGCTAAATCGTCCTACCATATTAGATTAGCCAGGGTATCTACAACCCTGACTACTGACCGACAGCTTGATTGTCTATATCTTGTGTTTCTTTTCATACTTAGTGCTACATCAGTTAGGTTTGATCTGCTAAGTCGTGATTAGAACCATAGGGGTATAGCCTGTTTTTGGTCAGTTCTAGGGGTAGTATCGGGGTTTCAGCCGATCTTATCTGATATGCTTGTTTCTTAAATCGTTGCATGTGTATCTGCTACCTATACAGGCAAGCCCTGCTATAACCTGGCACCAAGGGCTATGTCGAATCGGCTAAGGCCATTGATTTGACCATCGGCTTAGTCTCGACGCCTAGTTATAGCTTGACCTGGCTGTATAGGTATGTGCCAGAGCATTCGCTGGCACGTTATCTTTCTGCTTTACCTTTATTTTATCGGCTCCATTTGCTAGTATTGTCTTGATTTCATACGTTTAATTCACATGGATAGTGCTTTAGCCGATAGGGCATGTTTATAGCTTTTATATTCTTTAATCTACCCAATCCATAGTCGGCCCAATCGGCTGGGGACCACCAACGATACGCTGTCGGCCGATCGGCTGACTAACCTCCTCTTTTGTTTCCTTGCTGATTGTAGGATCAAGTCAGTTGGCATGCCCTTAGCACTCGAGGTAAGCCTTGGACCTACACTGGAACTAAGCAGATCTCCCAGGCCGTGCGTGTGTTCTTCATCGACATGCCTTTTGGCACGCCTAGTGGGACCGAGTTTCATTGAACAATCATGACGCCTCCACCGTCCCAGACAGAGATTAGTCAGGACAATCTTATCCCTGCCACGATGGAAAGTTTGAATGATGAACAATGGGCAGAGATAGGGAACATGGTGCAGCAGCTGCAAGAAGCATGTCTCAAGACCTTCTCCATAGCGCAACAAGGAATAGTCGTTCAGAAGACAAAGTTTCGAACGTCATGCGGAGAAGGGGAAGGATCTTGTACGAAAGACATCAAGGTTGAACAAGATGAGGAGATGCAAAAGGTTCTCACCAAATTCAATCAACTGGCGATTCAAGATCATGTTGATTCAGCTGTGAACCACGCATTGATCAACCAGTCTAGGGTCTTGGTCAATACACTTGCTAATTTGATCAAGTCAGTGGTTGATGGATCCATTGCTGAGCACGAGGAGAGAGGGTCAGTTTACTTGCCGGGTGGAGAATTTCCTAACTATAGAGAACTCAAGACTAGCATTGGAGGTGGCCGTTTTCAAGACAATAATGTGATGGTTTCAAGATCGAAGCAGCCACCGACATCAGGGGTTTTTGGTTCAAACACGATGATACCCGAAAAGCTGGCTGAAATACTTAAGAGTGTAATACCTGGAAGTACACAACCATCGGCTACCGAGCCGATTGCAAGACGACCACCAGTCATTCCTCAGCCTCACACTCAGCAGCCTTCAGGGCAGCCGATTGGTTCTCATACAATCAGGCCACAATACTGCATCCAGGAGCCAAGAACATTTTCATTTTAGCAAGCTCCAGGGTTCAACCAATTTCAAACTCCACCACCACATCGGCAGTTTGCTTCACCATTCATTCAGAATCCACTTCAGCCGATAGGCAATCAGTTTGAGCAAGTCCAAGGGGTCATCCAACAACAGCCCTTGGCTGGCATGATTGCAAATATGGTGAGAGAACAATTTGGCATCAAGCCAAAAGACAGCGGTATCATGTATCAGAACCCATATCCAGAATATTTTGATAAGATGCCATTGCCCAACTGATATAAGATCCCAGATTTCTTAAAGTTCTTAGGGCAGGATATTGTTTCTACATACGAGCACATCAGCCGGTTCCTAGCACAGTGCGGTGAAGCATCGGCTGTAGAAGCCCTAAGAGTTAGTCTTTTTCCTTTGTCTTTGTCTGGATCGACATTTACTTAGTTTTCTTCATTACCATATAATTCTATCAAGTGCTAGGCCGATCTAGAAAAGCAGTTTCACAAGTACTTCTTCAGCAACAAACAAGAGAGAAGCGGACCCGAGAAAACTCTTTGTATTCTCATTTATGTTAAACCTTGACCACCAGAACATGGCTTCTTATGTTCACACCTCAGCTAGGAGGGATGTTCCTAGTATAAATACCTCTCTACTCTATCCATTAGATAACTTTATTTCAATTGTAAACCTCATGTATGAGAGATTGCTGAAGACTGCATAAGTGTCTTACCCCTTTGTTCTTGTGAGTTCTTTTGGACTTGTGAGAAGGCTCCTCTGGTGCTCCCTAGTCTGTGCTCTACATCTTCCAGTTCGGCTGCACCGTATTGTGTGGATTAGTCCCGGATTGTGGTTCTGTGATTGCTCGGTTTGACGGGTTGAAGTCCAGGAGGCTTCGGATCGTTCTTACCCTCACCACTTCGTCGCATCCAACCTTGGTAGGTATAAAGCTAGTTATTCCCTATCGTGGTTCTCTGACTGCTCGGTGTGACGGATCGGAGTCCAGGAGGCTTCGGATTGTTCTCACCCTCACCACTTGGTCGCATCCGACCTTGGCAAGTATAAAGATAGTTATCCTCTTGCTGCTCGCAGCTAGTTACCCTCTTGTGTTCGGTTTACGCCAGCGCTCTTTTGTCTTGAACCTACTGCCGTGAAGATCGGGCCACTCCTCGCGAGTGTGTTCGCATCACATAGGTACCTGATTAACGAAAGAAGGTGTCGATTGCTGTTATAACCTCTATAGGTACCTGACTTTTTTCAATTTGATCCTTTTTAAAACTTATTTCACAAATACTAGCAATATATAGTCGCGCATTTGCACGAGTTTAACCCCCTCTATACAAAATGTGTTTGCAATTCGTGGTTTTGAAACATACATTGACATTTTATTTATAACTTTTTAAATAATTCATACATAATGATTAAATGTTTCAGTTAGTGTAACAGATATGGTTAGGGTTCATATTCATCTTCTCTGTCACAGTTTTTCTCTAATTATTTACTCAACCATAACCTTCTATTTTTTGTTTGCGCCTTAGCTACCGCTTTGCCACTAAATAGGCTCATCTTTTCGCTTATGCTTATGCTTATCAGTCAAAATTTAAATTTTAGACCTTAAATTTCGAGTTGATTTTAAGGTTTTTTCATCGAAGTTTATTTTTCAGTCTTTGCTTTTAGATCACTAAAAACATGTATATAAAATTTTTATTCATAAAATCCTTTTCGTTTGCAAATATATCGTTTCGCTTATTCCGCAAATAAGTGAAACGATAGCTCCGCAAATCACCAATGGCCACCTACATTGTTGTAGTAGGAGCCCTTTATTTTCCTATTATATTCTATCCATTCTTCATTTTAGCAAATTATTTTTTACATACTTGGATACT